AGGGAAAGGGACGGCTGGACCCTTCTCGCGATAAAATAAAATTCAGCACGCACCGCAGGGGGAAGGTGGGGCATGAAAAGAAATAAGAAGAAACAAGCCCTAGCGTTTACCCCCTCCTGTGTGACCCTGGATGGTTGTAGTTGTGCGAAAAAATACACTGAAAAGTATAATCTAGTCGATCTACTCTACATACCCTGAAAAGAGTAGTACACGTCTCACCACGACAAATGGAGGGACTGTCGCCATAATAAATAGGACGAAAACACCACGAAAAGCAGGAGTGAGTGTGGTGCTGTGTGCTGTGAACTGGCGAGCCTACTTTGGTTCTACGTCTGCGAGGCCGGGACGTTGGAGTATGGATAAGCCGAATATGATACCAAATGGGTAATTGGTACCCATCAAGCCGTGGAGGGGGATTCCTTGAAGAAGATGCAACCCGTGTTCATGTTTGGAAAGATGTTCCTCCTCACTTCTCAGCAGCCCGTGCAGCAGGGTACATTATCTGCGTACCAACCACTTCCACCGCCAATTTTGCAGATGAGGTGAGAGGTCTGAGCAGATCTCACGCCCTCGTGTGTTGCACTATACTCACAGGTCGGTGCTACTGGTCGAACGGTATATCTGTCGACTATGTGTGCTGTATGAGCGCATCACCGCAAGCCCGGACATCGCACAATTGGGTGTCTGTACTGTACAGGAAGCTCACCTACTATTTATGTATACCTACAGTAGGGTGGCTGCAGCAAGGCCGCTTGAATAAGGCCGCCTGCCCGACATAAGGCCGTTGAAATCGCTTGGCAGAGACCTTACCCTCTACAAGGCCGGTGGCGACCATATTGAGGGCATGCCCTCTAGGCCGGATATGGCCCCCAGCCTGCCCCCAATGAGGCCGGTATCCGTAGAAGTGATGTTGGTTTCGCCTCATATTACAGCCTCTCTCCTTCGCGCCACGGTCTTGACGCACTTCGGCGCTCTAGAGAAGGCTGCGGAAGACAGCGGCAATGCTGACGCCGCTATTTCTCTGCAGAGGGCTAAGATGACGATGATCGCAGCGCATGCCGCACTGCCCACGCGGCAGGCGGACTTGAGGGAATTTTTATTGATGTGATGAGCGCATGGAAGGAATCTTGGTACCGTTTGCTGTGTCGTAGGTGGGCGTATTTTTTTTCAGGAGGTTTGTCAGGAGTGCGTGGTCTGTGCCCGCACATATCGCAGGAGTAGATGCATGGTGCTGCTGTATGCTGATCGCTTGTTACTTTGGGGTTGCAAAACAACAAGGGGGTACGATTTGATGGGCACTTGCCTTTCGGTTTTTGAGTGGGGGCGTACGTTTGGGCCGAGGTCAACACTACCGCGTGCCGGCTTGAGCCATTGAATGCGTTTCTTGCTTGACTTGTTTTCCTTACGTCAGGTGTTCGCCTCTTATAAGTACATAAATGCGTACGGACTTCATTCTTTTTATTTTCTGCGGAACGTGGGGATCTGCCTGATGTCTGTTTTTTGACATGGTATGTCTCTATCACACCATTTCATTTTTGATTTCTTACCGGTCCGACATGAATCAATAATGTGATCACAAGTCACCAATTCAAGTTGCGTCGCCCGCTTCGTATGGCCTAGTGAAGGCGCGCGGGTCCTCAATAAGGCCGGCACCGGCCTTATACAGGGGCGATCCTCCGTAAGGCCGGGTGCCCTCAATTAGGCCGGTTGATTCTCGTGGCATTATGCGGCCCTACTGCGGGCCCCCTATTGTATGTACCAAAGCATACCCCGGCAACACAGATATTTGAAAAGGTGCTGATAAAGGCCGGAAGCAAGGGGGCACCCTTCCAGCATCAACGAAGCCAGTTCTTAGTAAAGTTCTTTGATGATTTTCTACTGCACGGCGAGGCAAGCGCAAGCTCGACGGCAAAGGGAAAGCTTCCCGCCGGCAAACAGTTCCGGCAGGCGGTAGGTGGCGACGCAAATACGCGGAAGGGTAAGCACTTCTGCGGAATGGCGCCATTTCATTTACTTGCCAGATCAGATGCAGGGATGAACGATTCTTCCGTCACTTTCCCGATCTAGGTGACTGCCTCGAAGCGAGAGTTTCCTAGAGGTGGAAACGGCTGTTCGAAGCCAACCACCCGAAGCCCCGCACAGTCCGACGGAAAAGTACAAAATTGTCGTTCCCCACTCACCAAACGCTGTGAAACTTCTCTATGTCCATAGACTAGATGAGCTGTACGAATAGTGGATACGGCGAGGATGGCGATACTAGACTTGGTTGGGTAAAATGATGGATCGTTTCCTGGCCTGACGGCTGCATGCAGGAGTAGATATCGAGTTTGTGCACGACGGGCGGGACGAACAGACGTCTCAAACACATATCAACAGCACGATCTCCTTCCAATGCAGCCGCCACCATTCTAGAATCCACATTTGATGGAGGTATTCAATTCACCGTTGCGTTAGTAGCAAGGGAGTTAGAACAGAACAATACCAAGAGAACATTGGATGGTGTGACGACGAAAGTCCAGACTCGTCGCCTGTAGAACACCGCAACAGCAACTTGACCGAGTTGACAACAGACAGCTCATTCAGGCGTGGTTCACGCTCATCGCACGTTTGCCGAACTACCGTTTGCGCGAACAAGTCCGCCTGGTCATTTTTTTTCCGTTGTTGTAGTTCAAAGCGTATACCAAAATCGGATATGTGTGGGAGACGAGACGCCTACAACAACGGGAACGACCCGAAACATCAGATGAGTGCCACATTAAATTGTGACGCTGGAAGTATACGCTCTATCCCGCTTATTTGGGTCTTTCGTCTGACTCATGACGAGGAGTAACTCTTCATCGAGCCGTTGGCACATCCTACACATATTCTAGAAGGAGCATCAGCGATCTTGCCCACCCCGGCGTCTGCGGAAGTAGGAAAACGTGATCAAATAACCGCCTACCTACAACGCCGGTGTAGAAATTGATGATCCATTTGCCCAGCGAAAGACCTGGATAAAGTATGACGACGTTTCGAATCGGCGCACAGCGACGGTAGGCTGATCCTACAGGTTTCGGCTATATAGCTATGTGTGCAACTTTTCGTCAGTCAGCGTTCATTTTCGGTGCTAGACTGCTGCACCAAGTTAAATACCATTGAATGTCCACAAGACGAAAACAGCAACAGTATCCAATCATGGTACTTTGACGTGTTTGCCACCTTTCCACTCTAGCTTCGACCGCTTGAATCCTCCACGTATACAGCTGGGGGGGAAACTCACTTCCGTTGCCAGCGGAGCCGTGAATTTCCTCGTTCCACTCAACATAATTTTTTTTACTTTCCGTGTTGCCACCTGCTTCCCTCGAATCACTCTATTCTCTTGAGTGGACTGTATGGATACACATTGAGTGAAGCATCGGGAAAACACGTGGTATTTTTGGATAAGGCCTTGTACTCCGGGAAACCTAATGGAACAACTACCGTGTCAGCGCGAACGCAACATTTTCCCCTCGACCCACCTGCCGTTCAAGAATGAAACATTTCTTGCTTCGGACTGTAGAAACACCACAAACGTGGTGTAACTAATAGTGATATACGGCTATGGTGACCCAAGTCCATTGTTTCCACGAGCGGTATGTTTGTGCGGGAAATGGAAGAATGGCTGTAAGCGCAACTTCCTGACCCGCAAACTCGTATTCGTTGTATGTGTTCAGTCGTCATCTGTTGTTCAACCCGCCGGTCTTTTGCCGCCACCTGCCTGCATGGATATGCTTTCTCGGTTTCCAGCTCCACGAGAGATTCATCCAAGCGACGACGGACGACGTCTGCTCCGGCAACATCTAAACGGAGCGGAGGAACTGGGTCGGCGGCACCATCCAAGACGGCGAGTCTGGCTATCGTTTCGTTTTGTTGTTCTAGGTGAACAGGTGGTGCTACGGGGGGCTCGAGCATCATGTGTGTATCTGTTGGACGCAGATGAGTCATGTTTCGCATTCTTTCGATAACCAATGGTTGTTTGCTTCATGTTAGGGTGGCAGGGCCGGGAGGGTTCCTACAAGGCAACAATACTCCTTGTACAGCAGTATCGAAGACATCAGAAGTGGTGTCCGGTAGGGAACGACAACGATGGAGAGTGTAAACCGGCCAAGTGCATAACTCTTCGGAGCGTCCAGTAACGCTTTGTAACTTGGCGATGGCCCCTGCCACATCTTATGAAACAGTTCACGACTTTTGTTTGGGAATGGACAAAAGTAGGTATATCCACCTCATCGGACAATAGTGGCGCTCGCAATTTGCTTCCCAGAGACTACGCTTGAGAGGGGGGAACGAAGCAATATCTCATTATGATGCCTGGACAACATGGTCACGGGGCATGCCCAGCAAGGACATAAACGTTCGCAATCTTCCGCGGTCATCTTCAACCCACACACCGCCATGGCGCACAAGGCCTCAATAAGTTGCCCGATTTGGTCCGAAGTTCCTTCCAGTGAGTGTACCCACCGAAACCCATGCTAACGTACCCACTTTGCCTGTCTTTGAGCCCTGAATTAACGTCCCCCGTGTGATGACGTGGGGGTTGATTTTCGAGGCTCGAAAGGTGGCAAGAATGGGGTATGTTTAGGATAAAAATTGGGTCGTAAAACGGACAAAAGTGAGTGGATACATGAAAATAATAGGATATAATAGCAGATTTCGGTGTGTAAGATTTCGAACAAAATCGGGCAACCTGTTCAGGTCTTGTGTGCAGTGGCGGTGAATGGGCTCAAGACGACCCCGACAGTTCGGAGATTTTTGTGTTCACGATATGCTTGGTCCTTGACCATATTGTACAGGCATCAGAATGAAACGTTGGGAGGTTCTAGCTTCCCACGAGTGGTCTCTGCGAAGAAATTTTCGTACGTCGTTCGAAATTCAAATTGTAGCTTGTACGTACGGCACGTGACGACGGCGATGACGGCATTCCTGATATTTTGCTATCATAAGAGATATGCTTGAACTTCTCTTGCTGCTTTGCATACTCGATGTCGCTCGCTCGCATACATGGTGAAGAAGATGTCCTCCTCGTGTCTCGAACCGTCCTGTTGCCACAGTCAAAGCGTAACACCGCCCGGCGCCGTGGACAGGGACGGCCAATTTGCCAGGAGCCCGGTTGCACGACAATACCAACTTTCGGCAAGAAGGGTAGCAAGAAACCGGAATTCTGCTTGCCGCACGCCAAGCCGAATATGGTGGACGTTCACAACAAGGTGTGCGACCAGCCAGGCTGCCCCACGCACCCAACGTTCGGTAAAGATGACACCAGAAAGGCGGAGTTCTACGGTGCACACCGCATGCAGGGCATGGTCAGCGTCGTCGGGAAGAAGTGCAACCCCCCGGGGTGCCTCAAGTTCCCGTCATATGGTAAACACGGCAGCAACGTCAGAACGAGGTGCGGCCATCCAGGGTGCACCAAGAACACCCCCTTTGGTGTAGATGGCCGCACGAGGACGAAGGCGGAGTTCTGCCAAAAGCACACTAGGGGAAGAAAGGTGAACACGCGCCTTCCGTGGCGGCCGGAGTCGTAGAGGGGGGCATGCTTGTCGTGTACTTTGATGCCCTTGCTGAAGGTGTGGTTGTGCAATTTGTAGCCTATCATAGGTCACTCTGCAGTCTTTCAGCGTGGTGCATGGCCACATGTAACGTTGCAGAATGGTTCTAAGACCGTTGCCACGGTTTGTACAGCCGTTGAGAGCATTTGTTCGTTTAATGAAGCAACACATACAGGACGCATGAATTCCACGTTTGCTTTCTTCGCTGGCTTGACCCGCGAGGTTCTGGAAGATGGGGGCTTTGCACCTCTTCATGTTGTGAGTTGGGCACGCAAGGAGCTAGAGGTACCCTCACTCTCTTGTAGTAGTGCAGCATCGGAAAGACTGGGCACCGGCCTAGATGCATGTCAAGAGGAGAGCACGGGAGAATGAGAGTGGTACAGCAGTGCCCGCCGTCAGGGACCACCAAGGAAAGCCACTGGCAGGAGGGGTCCAAGTCCCTTTAGTTAAAGCCGACCGTGGTGGTTTCGGTTCACGCACTTGTGTCAGATGCCGTTCGTGAAGATGCCGAAAAGGAGGGGTTCCCGATATTGTGCTTGACGGTTGATTGGTTGTTTCGAAAAGCGCGGTGTGTTCATATCTATGTTCTCGAGGGCCAAAAGGACATGAATGGATGTTCTGCTTCATGTTTTGTTCGAGTACCAGAGTTCGGAGGGTAATTGTCGAACGCGGGTACGTGGGGTAGTGTTGGCGGGCACGGGAGTTGGACCCAAGGGGCTTGGTCATACAACCTAGAACAAATTTCTCCGTATTTCTCGATGAAAGTTGATGTTGACTGAAATCACGCAAATTCAATTAGCTGTTGAATGGAAGGGTGCATGACTACAGGACCCCATAGCTGCGAGGTGTCAAGACACGAGGGAGTGACCTTCTAATGAACGATATCATATACTGCGATACATGTATCCTTGGGGAATGCCGTGGGGGGGCGAACGGAATTCCCTATTTGTCGCCGATAAGCTCGAAACTATGACGCAGGTACCAAAAGCAAATCTGTGAGTGCCTACCCAACAGGCAAGAGGTGGTCTGCAGTGTGAGCACCGCTGACGGTAACTTGATGACGGTCCTCACGAGGATCGTTACCTGAGGTTCTCTCGAACAACGGCGACAAGAGATCCATCGTGAAAGGTGTCAGCCATGTCACGTCAGGTTTTTCGTGGCCGCTACTGCTGCTGTACTTCGTCTGCGGCACAGGCATCCCACAAAACGCGGCAACTACCCTCATTCAACGCATCCATTCCCAACCACCCGCAAGCCGTTTCCCTTCAAAAATAGTGTGAGAGCCTCGGCAAATTTTTGTTTGCGGCGACTGTTTCACTCGTCCGTGCTGCTGACGGGCAGGCTCGCCGCCGAGGCGAGCAGGGCTTCGGCACTTGTCGGCGACGGGGGCGACTCGTGCCTCGGATTCGGCGAGAGTTCTCCCTGGTGCGGCGGCTGGTGAGTTCCGCCGGCTTGTCGAAGCGGGCGAGCCGCCGGGCCTCTGGCCCACAGAGCGCCGGG